CTAGACAGATGAGAGCCTGTTCATGGATCAACTATTTCATTCATTCACCTATCCACTCATTCACCTCTCTGTGTCTCATATATATAATACATGCTTATTCAGTGTACACTTATAACCCATAGTTCCAAAAATACAGATAACTATACTGTTTTGACTTATTAAAATAATTAAGGCCAGGCTGTGATGAAAAGCACTTGCTTCTTTCTCAAAGGACCCAGGTTTGGTCCTTTGAGACCAGTCACCAGCACCCAAGTGCTGACTCCCAACCATCTCTAACTCAGGTCCCAGGGGATCAGGCGCCCTTTACTGACTGGCATACGTGCAGATATGCACACATGTAGGTATTCGCATAGACTAAATTAGATCATATATAAAATCATATATATATATAATAAAAATATATAATCAAGGCAGCATGATGGACCAGCCGGTAAAGGCACCTGCTTCAAAGTCTCAAGACCTGAGTTTGAGCCCTGAAGCAAGTTGTGCTCTGACCTCTACATTGGAGCCATGGCCTATGCACTCCTGCACAGACACACACATCATCATCATCATCATCATCATCATCATCATCATCATCATCATCAATAGTGTGATTTAAATTTTGAAGATAAATATAGAGACAAAAAACTTATCTTTTTTTCTTTTTGTGTAATGTTTTGTAGTTCTTGTGATGTGGTATTTTGATTAAATTTGTGGGTATATTGTGGGTATTACAAAAACCAAAATCAAAATTTTCTCTCCACCTAAACAACTACCATGAAAAATAATGTATGCTCCTTATCCCATTTCATGTCTTTCTACCACAAGCTGGCAGAAAAGAAAGAAATTGAAGGCCCTAATATCTGTGACAAACCTGACCTTCAGTGTTGCCTCACCAAAGGAAATTAATTTCATATATATTCAAAAGAATCAGAAATCCTTAGTTTTGAAATAAAAAAGACAGAGAGGAAGAGAGAGAGAGAGAGAGAGAGAGAGAAAGAAAGAAAGAAAGAAAGAAAGAAAGAAAGAAAGAAAGAAAGAAAGAAAGAAAGAAAGAGGGAGGGAGGGAGGGAGAGAGGGAAGGGAGGAAGTAAATAAGACTCCTGATCCTGGCTTAAGCCAGAGGCTCTTGTCTGTGACTCCAGCACTTGGAAGGCAAGCAGGATGATGGAGCTTTTGAGGCCAGCTGGGATTGCACAGGAAGACTTTATCTAAAACAAACAAACAACAACAACCTGGAATGGTAGTTCACACTGTGATACTAAGGCAGGGGAAATGCTTTGAGCTCAAGTCCAGCCCATGCTTCATATTGATTTCCAGGCCAGGCTGAGCCACAGGGTGAAATCTGTTTGAAACAAACACCCCCGTTCACACAGACACAAATAAATCTGTAGGCGTTCTCCATTTCTGTGACGTAAAGGCCGTCAACATTAAGTCAAATGGTACCTTAGTGCATCACCAGTTGCTCTGGCATCCTGTCTTTGCTCAAGACCTGTACAAAGTGTTATAAATGTATAAATATTAATCTTACATTTGAAAATATCTAGAAATAACTGCCCCCCCAATCATAACATGGCTTTGAATAAACTGCCACCAAGGGGATGTACTGTGTTAGTCTCCTTCAGGGATGCAGTTTCAGTAGTTTTAGATGGCCAAGCCATCTGTTCTTACTGTAATTTTACAAGAGGTTTCTTGCTTAGAATTTTTCTTTGTTCTGAACTTATGTCCATCGGAATTCTCCCAAGTAAACTAACTCAATTTTTCATTATATCTATATTGTGGGACCACATAGAACATTCTCCAAAGCCAACAAAGTTTATTGTTACAAAATATAGTATGTGACAGCAGAATTATTGAGATTATCTAGGTATTCTTTCCTGAAAAAAGGCCAGCTATGAAATTTTTCATTATTGATTACTGATTATTGATTCTCTTCCACATCTCCTCTTTTTTCTTTTCTCCCAAATGGATGACTATTTTCTTTCCAGGTTTGAGCTCTGTCTTTCTCTAGGGTGGAGAGTTTTTCCCCGGTGGGTTAGAGAGATGCCATTTATTGCTGTGTTGACCATATCCTTACGTCTCTCCTCCAAGTCAATGACAGGAGGAAATGGAGAATCCAGACTATGAGTACTTCAAACCAGACTAACTGGCTGTCCAAGACTGTCCTTGATGATCCAGTTGCCTCTTCAGCTTTGTACCGAGGACTCTACCTGGTTACAAACTCTGTGAAATCCATTCTTCTACAAAGCCTGGTACACAACTCCTAAGGCATTTTAAGTCCATGGAGTTCCTTTTCTCTCTCAATTCCTACTTCTCCAAATCACAATACCCCAAGCTCAGGCCAGACCGAGAATAAACAAATGGGCCATGGCTTTCACCCCACCCACAGAATGATCTAGATGAGGCATTCCTAATTGCTCGTTGCTCAATCTAATCTTGCTAAAGAAAGAAACCTTTGGGTGGGGAAATTCTTAGTCAAATAAATTCCTAAAGAGAATCTTCAGTAAGTGATGCCATCAAGGGAGTATATCACCATGCCAGAGACTGGGTTCTGTGTCACTAAGGATGAATCAGCACAGAGCTTGGGCAGCTTCTAATTCTCTTCCTCTTCAGTCTCCTGCTGGGACTCTGGGTACAAGGTCCTCCCTCCTCTGTGGATGTTTTATGCGTTATTTGTAGAAGGTAAGTCACATGCTCTCAATCACTTGGCTTCGGCCTTCCAGGTGCTAGGATTAAAGGTGTGCATTACTGCACCTGGCTTCACTTTTTTTTTTTAATCCAAAAGCAACTCATAATCCAGAGGCAAAAAATAATAACAATAATAATAAAACAAACAAACAAACAAAACGTAGATTTGTGGCTAACAGGAAATTCATAGTCCAGGCAAGGGCCAAATTAAGTTTCATGATAGTGAATTTTTTCCACAGCTAGTAGGGAGACCCATTAAAAAGGACTAAGGTCTGAAGGACCAGCATTCCTGTAGTTGGTAAACTCACCGAGGATCCACTACAATTAGCCATCTGCTAAGTCCTTTAAGAAATGGATGAATGAGACCTTACCCTAATGAGTGTCCACATTATACAGTGTAATTGGTCATTAATCACCACGGATACCAATACACAAACATGCTTCAGGAAAGCTGGTTCTCGGGTTCAGACAACAACAGGATCAGAGTGAAATACTTAAATCATCCAGACAGAAGGAAGGTACAGAGAATCAAATGATATATTTTGTAGAGTAACTATTGCCATAAATACAGCGATAGGTGGTCAGAAGTTTAGGGGTTAAGAGTGATACAAGAGTCTGGAAGATGTGTGGGACACAGAGATCTGGGAATCGAAGTTGACTTTGGCCATTCGACAAATACCGGTCCTTAAATTAGGTAATAGATACAATAACGTGGAGAGTGAATGCTGTGTCCCTCGGCACACACTTCCTACTTATTACTTTGAACAGCAGGTTCTTAGAACAGTTTTAGCTGATGGAATCAAATGAAAGGAGCAAAAAACCAACTAAACAAACAAAAAACTACCAAAAACCAAACGAAAAAAAAGGAAAGAAAAGAACCACAACCCTGGTGCCACAACAAACTAGCAGGGACCCATACACTTTGATTAGCCTTGGGTCATTATTAACACTTTTATCCGTTGTTTCAGAGGGATGAGTCAAATCTCTGTGGGTTTATTTGATGGATAACACGAAGTCCAAAACAACCTGACCTTTGTCCTTTGTGATGGTCTCTATTTTAGGTATTTATTGCCTGGTTTTGGTTTTGTTGTACTGGCCTCAAATCCAGGAGACCCGCCTGCTTCTGCCTCCCTGGTGCTGCTGTCTTGCCTTTTCAACAACTACTACAAGTTCTCTGGGGAATAAAAACTCGTCTGTCTTGTTTGTTGCTGTTTTCTCAGCACACTGTTCAGCGCCGTCACAGAGCAGGCGGTTCAGTTGTTTTGCCCTCTTACACGGCAGTAACTCACTATGCTAAGTGCTGTGACAGCCTTGTGCATGGATGACCTCTGACAGCGGGGCAGTAGCCTGTATTGGAGCCGAGGTTTAGAGACTGAGTAGGTCTTCATGAAGTGGACTGGAAAAGGAAGGTAAAACCGGAAAGAACAGAACAGAGTGAGCCAAAGCAAAGCCTCGTGGAGAACAGTCGATTTCAAAGGCCAGTCTCTTTCCCCGTGTTGTCCAGAAACTCTTCTCTGTGAAGATGTTCCTCATAAGACAGAAAACACGACTGAAGAGGAGTGGGTGTTCCGGGGTTTGACCACTCCGCGGCGAGGGCGAGGCAGTGATCCCCAAAGAGCTGCAGACCGGGGTGTCTGTAATTCATCCGCATTGTGTGTAAGCCTGGAATAAGCCGCTGTTCCCGGAGCCCTGGCTGAAGCACAGGTCTGGAACCTGGGAAGGCTGACCTGAGCTCTCGGTTACACCTAACTCAAGAGACCTGACCTATCCAAGAATCAGGAAAGGCAGGAGAGGCTCTGGGAGGCAGGGCACGCAGGAGAGCAAGTGAGGGTTGGGAATCTGGCTTGGGAGGAGGTTGAAGATGAACTAAAAGCAAACTTTGACTTCTGGACAACCCTCCAGGGAGGGACTGGAGAACACGCCTTGCCCTAGATTCTTCAGGGATCCCATGGACAGGTCTCCCCGGGTTCGCAGCCCTGGGCTTCTTGAGGATCCACTGACCTCGTGCACAATTGAACGAGGCCACCGCGGGCCACTCCGCAGTTTTAACCCTTTGTTCCCAGATCCCTGCGCGGGGCTGGCACGCAGTCCTCCCCGCCGCGCCCGCGCCCCGGGGTTCCGGGACTGAGCATGCTCAGTAGCCGCCCGCGTCTGGCTCCCAGGGAAACCTCTGCACCCCCTCCGCAGCTGCTCTCGGCCGCCTCCTCTCTGCTCGCCGCCCAGGGTGCATCCCGGCTTGCAGGACTCCAGGCGACCCAGATTCCCGCTCCGCCCCCGCCCCTCCCGCGCCCGCAGCCAGTGCGGCAGCCGCGGCCGCCTCGGTCCAGCTTCCTCGCGGGGACCAGTCGCTGCGGCCGCGGTCGCCGGGGCAGAGGCGGAGCGAAGCGGGCGATGGAGACCGCGCTGCCGCGCTCCCAGAGCTGCTGAACCCACCGCCGTCCCCGGCCCGGTGAGTCGCGACCCCAGAGGAGCCCGCGGGTGGGCGTCCTTGGAGAGGAGGGCTGAGCTGCGTGGGGCACAGCGGAAGTGCTCGGGCTTGGGGACGGTGCGGGGACGCGGATCGGCGTGCGCTCTGCCGGGGTGTTAGGAGCCCCGGAGGCACCCAAGGCTGTAAATCCTCTTTCTCATCCTGCGCCGGGAAATTGACACCCGGGGCGCCGCGGGTCAGAGCCGGGAGCTGTCGGCTTCCCGGGGGAGCGCGGGTCGCCTAGCGACTGAACGCCACTGCGGGGCTCAGGGAGAGGTCCCGGGCGGGGACAAAGGGCGGCTTGGCTGGGGCCGGTGGAGGGTCCCGGCCCTGGGCAGCCCTCCGTCCTGCCGGGCGAGCCCCAGGGCGGTGCCAGGCGGCAGAGCGGCAGAGCTGTGGACCGAAGGTCTCAGAGCCTCCTCCCCGGGCCAGGTCTGCGGGGCTGGCGCGCGCGCCTCCTCCCACGGGGGAAACTCCACTCTTGGGGCATCGGCCGGGCAGGTGCAGCTGAGCGGGCGGGCGGAGAACAGCAGCTCCGAGAGCTGCTTAAACCGAACGGTGGAGCGAGCTGTGCTGTTTTTCCAAGTGCCTGTATTTCCAATGCAGCCTCTAGGTGGCGAGTCCGGTAACAGACCTTATGAATATTTCAGAGACGACCTCACAGACTCGCTTGCTTCAGATCAAGTTTAATGAGTGTGTGTGTAAGCCTTTCTGGCCCCCCGCACAGACAGATGCAAGCCCCGGCCACGGCTTGGAGCTTTCCAAATTTCATCTCTTCTCCCCCCCCCCCCCCCGAGAAAAAGACGTCAAGGATCCCCACGAGCCTTAGACTGGTGTCATAAACTGAGGCTGTCATTTGGAGAGCCCGATTTTAGGCAGCCATCCAGGCTTTGTTCTGCATCTCAGCAGCGTGTGCGTGTTGGCGTCTGTCGCTTGACAACCGTCCTTAACTGGTATTGCCAATATGGTGGAAAGCAGGTAGCATCCCTACACTGGGATAAACGTCATAATTCCTTGCTGCCTCGTGAGAACACGGAGTAACAGCAGTCTTGGTCACATTCTCCCTAGAAGTTTCCTTGTGAGGTCAACCTGGTTGAAATTTTACCAAAGGTATACATTCTTGTTATTGCTCAGCCTTCCTACTCTCTCTCTCTTGTGGGAACACCGAATCCTTTCTCTGTAAGATGTTGCTGTCAAAAACGGCAAAATAATGTTTTCTTTCAGGGAACTTCCTGGGTTGCAGCAGACTTAGGCCTCTGAGCAATATAACTCCTATTGTACCATCACAATTAACCAGTAAAACTGACGCACTGCTTAGCGGTCAGTACTCTGAGATGGTACTCATTTGTAGACCAAGTCAGCTTCCCTCACGCCCACCCCCACCCCCACCCCCAGGGGTGTGTGTGAGAGAGAGAGGTGGGTAATCTTGATCCATCTATAAGGAATTCTTTTGTTGACCCAAAGCTCAAGCGTCCTTGTGAAGAATGAGCAATAAATCTCTCTGGCACGTCTGAGCACCCAGTGGGAGGCTGAGGCGCTCCTGTCTACAGATGTTTCACATTTAGGAAAGGCTCCTCCAACAAAGACCTGCCGCGGTTACCTCACCGGCTTCTCCCAGTGCCTGCCAGGCTGCTTCTCCTGGTCTGAGGAGAGCCTGTGTTGCCACGTTCAATTAATGAAGAGAAAGAACCCTGAAATGAAAATGCTCCCGTTTCCTCCATCGCGTCTTGCGTTAGCTTTTCAGGCGAGTTGGAGAGCTGTGCATAAAAATTATTCACAGATGGGATTGTAAAGGAATTCTACAGAATTCACAACATAAGGGGACTCTTACATAACAAGCATGCCACCAAGTTGCTCAGAGGTAACCAGGCTGCGTTCACAGATGTAAAAGCTTGGCGAACTGGGAAGTTTGTGGAGCTCTTCCAGGTGTGTCAAGGAAGCATACCCTCCATCCACCAAGCATTTTCAAAACATCACTGTTAGGGTTACTGGTGGTTTGGGCTGGGCAGACATGTTTCTTTCTGAAAACCCTGTAATGGAAACATTTCTTTCCTCCTTTTTTGGGTCACTTATGGGTTGAAAAAAAAAAAAAAAAAAACCGAAGTGGAGCAGAAGTTGTATGCTGCTCTGCAATCTGGGACAGGCTCAGCTCTTGAGCTATTGAGAATAACTCATGCCTGAAAGTGAGTGCTCTCAGCTCTGCACATATTTGCCGAATATATTTCTACTTGTTACGCTCTGTGAGAGTTGCCAGGATCCAAAGATGAGAGGAGACAGGGGCTGGTGATGGGTATACATCAACCGATGTAGGACTTGCTCTTCCGGAAGTGTGAGGGGCGTGTGTGTGTGTGTGTGTGTGTGTGTGTGTGTGTGTGTGTGTTGGGAGTGTGTAATGTCAGAGCCTGGGGGAAGACAAAGAATTCTGATAGACATCTCCACTCACGGAATGAGCTATTTAGCTGTGCAGCAGTGTTGACTGTTGAGGTCTGGTCTCAGATATGAGAATGGGTTCTTATGATAGAAGAAAAATGTAAAAAAAAATTTTCATGAGAGCCAAATGAAGCTACAAATTACAGGATTTTACCCAATAGTCTCAGTTAGAAAAACAACTATATCATGCCCTGAATAGTGTTCCACAGCACTGCTCCCTATCTTCCTGAGTTTATATTGTGTTCTCCCCCAAGAAAGACTTTTAAATAGTTCCTGAAGAACGAGCTGAGATGAGGCACATGTCGGGACCAGCAAATGGCAGTTGGGCAAAGGTATCTCACTGCATTAAAAAAAAAGTTTTAATTTCTTTTTAATGTGCTTGGGTGCTTTGCTTGAATGTGCTTGGGTGTTTTGCTTGAATGTGCTTGGGTGTTTTGCTTGCATGCTTGTATACCATGGGTGTGGTTGGTACCTTTGGGGGGCCAGAAGAGGGCAATGGGTCTTCTGGAACTTGAATTACAGACGGTTGTGAGCTGTCATGTAGGTGCTGGGAACTGACCCTGTGTCCTCTGGAAGAACAACCAGTTCTCCATCCAGTGAGCCATCTCTCCCGCCCGTCTCATTGTATTCTACAGAGCAGGTGTCCTGCCCTTTGACTAACATTATTGGGTGTCCTTTCATTAGTCGACTGCCACCCTGGTCTTTTCAGATTAAAACAAAACAAACAAACAAACCACCACATAGTATTGAAATGTATTGTTTCTTTAAAGTTTTACTTTTATATAAATGTAGATATTTAAATATGTCACATGGGGTGCTGATCAATATTCTACTTCTTTTGGTACAGTTTCTTGAAATGAGATAAGCATATGTTTGGGTTTTAGAAAATCTGTTGCTCTGAATGAGAAAAGACATTAAATTGCTATCATTTTCTGTTTCGGTTGAGTTATCTTTAAGAAAGCAGATGCCAGTGGTGGAAAAAAAGTATATTTTACAGAAATAGCACCATGCGAAAATGACCATATGCTTGTAGTATCAGAGAGTACCTACTTAGTGTTCCGAATGAAATTAATTCCAAAACAATACCAAAGCAAACACAATTGTGCCTGTAAAGATTCGGAAGGTACTACTGCAGAGGATCACATGGTATACTGCGTGGAAGCTGAAGGTTAAACCCATGCGGATCGTGTAGAGACCAGCCATCTCTTCATGGTTCACACTGGCAAAACTCCAGTACCCAGTAACAGGATGCCAAAGTAGGTTACCCTTCTGTCAAGAAACCTAGTGATCTTAGCAATCTCCATTCAGGACAGCCTCAAAGGTGTGGCTAAGTTTCGCTCTATTTCTTTCCTTTTCTTCCTTTTTTTTTTTTTAATGGTGCCAAGGAGTGCACCTAGAGTTTTATGCCTGGCAAACACTCTAGTGTTGAGCTCTATTACCTCCCTGAAAGGAAAAACAAACAAACAAACAAACAAACAAACAAACGAAGTATTATTTTGAGACAGTCTCACTAAGTTATTCAGGGTGGCCTGGAAACTTCTCTGTAGTCAAGGAAGGCCCGGCAGATGTGATCCACCTGCCTCAGCTTCTTGATCAACAGGCTTGATCCATGAGACCCAGCTCATGTTCTAACATAAGTCTCAAAATCATAAGAACTACCCCACATTGGCATATATCATGTAGTCTTATCAAGTAAACGATCATCCTTTAAGATAGAGTGGAAAATGGGCTGATTCAGGGATTTCTGCCAGTTCTCTTCGCAGAAGGTCAAGCGTTCTTCTGCCTTAACGACCTTCCATAATTCCCGGTTTATATGAGCGAAAAAACTGTGGCCAAGGGACATACTGACATCATTAAAGTTCAAGACGATTAGAGTCTGGGTCATATTTTCAACAAGGTTTATTACAGGAAGGATTTCTGCAGTGGCCCCGTATGTGGAGTGTCTCCCAGAGAGCCTCCTGTGATACCAGACGCTCATTTAGTCTACATCCTTAGCAGACACCTTGAATCTGAACATTCTGCATATGGATTGTTCCCGTATTCCATGAGCATATAATCTTCCAGCCCCCTCTGGCCAGCTCTGGGCAAATAACATCCTATCTTACCCTAGTTTCTCTGCTGTGAAAGAGTTTGAAGGTTAAAAAATAATATGATGCTAACCCTGATGTCTATCTAGAAAATAAGCTTTCGGCCTTGCTGTGGCTTCAATAAGGGAATAGCTTTGTTCCAAAATAAATGAGAAACTTATATAGAGTGAGTATATTCCATATGATGTGTCCCAGGCCACTGAAATAATCACACAGATTGGACTGTCTTAATTTTACACTGTGGAGGTGGAGCGGTTTGGTTGTTGCCTAAGTGGAATGTATTAAGTTGCTTCTAACAACCAGTCTCAGCTGGAGGTGGAGATGCCCACGCATTTAGCCTCAGGAGGCAGGCAGATCTCTGTTTGTTCAAGACCAGCCTGGTGCACATAGTGAGTTTTTGGCCAGGCAGGGCAAAAACCTATCTCAAGCAAACAAACATACAAACAAAAATACCCCAAAAGCAAA